TAAATTTGTCTCCACCCGGAGGTTGCGAGTGCATGGGGGAAAGTCACCTTGAAGAAGCAGACATGGTTCTAAAAGTAGTTACTTTTATTTATTACTTATCACTTTATGATCATTTTATAACTAATTCAGTAACCTTGGGAGCAATCCTAATAACTTAATCTAAAAAACTCATAAGATTATTCAAAGACACACTTATCTTTAAATCCGCTTGTAGATCTCTTATCTCATCTCTTTTCTAAACTGATATGATCCTCTTCAAACCTTCTCTAATATTTCCACTGTTCTGAATGGAGGTTTTAGAGCTTGTCATCTTACACAACCCTTGCCATGATTTAAATCGCATTTGCATTAGCATAAAATCAAGTCATTTCTACGGAAAGCGGTTTTAAAATCAAATCACAGCTAAAGAATAATTTCCCCAAGATGATTAGTTAAGAAACGTAGAACCCGTTCACATGCAAACTAGCCGCAGCAACTATAAGACAAATACAATTGATTTCATTACTTTTATTTATTTATATATATATTTTTTTAGTATAACTTCCTCCCACAGAAAAAAAAATGCCTACAAAGCCAAGTCAAATGTGTACAAAGGGGGGACCCTAAGGAGACCAGGTATTTTTGTCCAGTGTGTCCCAGCAACCCAGTCTTTGTGTTGATCTTTGCTTTAAAGCGCATCATATACAGCAAGAACAATAAAAATATTTTTTTAATTTTTGGAATACATTCATAAATGTATAACTATTATGTTACAATCTAACCATCTCTCTTAAGTTAAAATTTTAATAATAAATATTCATAAATAATACGTTTATCGCACTATATAAATTTTTCTCTTTCATCCTTTCTACTAATGCCTACCCCTAATGGAGATTTGTAATCAATATAAAATGGCAGTACACTCTACGTGGTACCTCGTAGCTGGCAGTGAATGGGTTAAGTAATATTTTTCCTTAATTTTTTATGGAAAAATATCTGCTTGCAGAAAATTAAATTTCAAATAAAATAAAACCGATTTTTCAATTCCTACTATTAGCTCACACTCTCTCTATATTTACTTATTTATCTTGGTAGAATTTTCAATCGTTAATAAAATACATTTTAAAGCGCTCGATTCAGCTGAAATTTTATATACATGATTATATTGGATGACAATACAGTAATTTAATTATAATTAAGAAAAATTAATTAATTAAAATTAATTATTCAAAGAATTACAAATACAGCCACGTTGGCATCCTTTTTGGCGACTTGAGTCAAAACTTGAAAAGTTTTTTTTCTCAAATTTTAAAGCACTCATTTGAGCTGAAATTGTCTATACACTATTGTCTTGGGTAAAATTATGATAATTTAGTTATAACTAATTAAAATTAATTGACTGAAATTAATTATTTTACGAACTACAGATACAGCCACATTTTTTCATTTTTAGCGACTTGGGTCAAAACTTTAAAAGATTTTTTTTCTCTCACGTTTTAAAGCATTCAGTTGAAATGAAATTTTATATACACGGTTGTTTTGGATGACAATACGATTTTTTAATGATAATTAATAAAAATTAATTACCACTTAATGTTGTGATTCTGTCATATGTATGTACATATTTATATTAATTGTAACTATTTAATAAGAAGTAGCTAAAATAGAAAATTTCTTTGCTGATCTATACAAGTAGGAATTGACTTAATTTTTTTTAATATAACTTGTTTTAACTTCATTGTTAAGTACTCTAAAAGATTGTCAACTAATGTGCTTTGCCTCACTTCTTACAAAGACTATGAGAACCAAATTTTAATTATCAATTTAAATTCATTCGTCAAAAGTGCTTATACAATTCAATATATACTTGATATTTTATTGATCAGATTTTAGGAAATAAATAAATATACGTATAGTTTTTACACTTCTGTTTTTTCTCACAAACTAGTACTAAAAGCTTTATTTTTTCTTGTGCATTCTAATACATTTTTTTGTACAGAACATTTTCGGCTTTCAATTTTCTAATTTTTTTTATGCATATCTTTGAGGAGTCTCAATGTTTCTTGTGCACTTTCTCTTTCAATTTCTAATATTAGTTCACTCTCTCTCTCGCTATATATATTTATACCGGGTGGCCATAATTAAACGATCCTACTTCAAAATTGTTTACAGACGAAACTATTGTTCAGAAAGTTGTCAAATCCCTTGCACGACATAAAGAAGGGATGGGAATTTGTTTGAACGAATGAAAAAAGTTAGTTCAAAATTTCGCCACTAGAGGGCGCTTTTGATTGAAAGCCACATTTATTACCGGTTTTCATTTGTATTTTATCGCTTTTTTATCCACAGGACACGATAACACAATAACTGATACTCATTAAAAAACAAAATCTCTAAAATGAACAGTAAACTTTAATCTTCTTCGACGAGTAATTTTCAAAGGATTTACCCGAAGGAAGACGAAAATATACAAATCTTTTCGGCGTCACACAGCAACTGTTATAAAAGCAATAAACTTTCATGGGATATTAATTTATTTTCAGTGTGCTTCGTATTGCTAATCAGAATGTCATTACGTTTACCAGATCGAGCGTTGTTAGTCAAGTTATTCTATCAAAACGATAATTCCGCAATAGTTTCTCTACGAAAATTTCGGGCTTTAAAGGGGATGCGAAAAAGTCCATTGACAGCTACAGTGTTTTTTTTCCAGGTATAGAAGTTTAAGTTGGCATTACTTTCCAAGATGGCGACCGATTTAACAGCTGTTAAGTGATTTATTCTCAATTTGGTTTGGCAATTCATCATGAATAGACTCACGCCTGAACAATGCTTTCAAATTGTGCAATTTTATTTCGAAAATAATGGTCGATTTTCATAAGCGAATTTTGTTTAGCGATGAAGCGCACTTCTAATTGAATGGCTACGTCAACAAACAAAACTGCCCCATTTGGAGTGAAGCTAATCCACAAGTGTATGTCGAAACACCGTTACATCCAGAAAAACTGACTGTTTGGTGCACTTTATGGGCTGGTGGAATCCTTCTTCAAAAACGATAAAGGCCACAACGTTACAGTCAATGGTGAACGGTATAGAACCATGATTACTAACTTTTTCATTCCTGAATTGAACAATCATGATGTCCAGGAGCTGTGGTTCTAACAAGATGGTGCAACATATCACACAGCTCGTGCCACAATCGATTTATTGAAAGACACGTTTGGTGACCGCCTAATTTCACGTTTTGGACCTGTGAATTGGCCTCCAAGATCTTGTGATTTAACACCGCTAGACTATTTTTTGTGGGTCTATGTAAAGTCATTGGTCTATGCGGATAAGCCACAAACGCTTGACCATTTGGAAGACAACATTCGCCGTGTTATTGCCTATATACGGCCACAAATGTTGGAAAAAGTCATCGAAAATTGGACGTTCAGATTGGACTACATCCGAGCCAGCCGTGGCAGTCCTATGCCAGAAATGATATTTAAAATGTAATGCCACAAGATTATCTTTCGAATAAAAAAAATTCATGCCAATCGAATAATACATCGTTGTTTTATTGCAATTTAAAGTTCTATACCTCTAAAAAAACACCCTTTATAAATCTTCGATTAATGGTAACCAAATTTGAAGAAACATGATCGTTGAATGTTCGTTCTGGAAGAGGAAGAAAACCTGTTTCTGTGGAAGCAATAGAGAAAATTGCACTTCAGGTGGAAGAGGACAAAGCATCCAACGTGCAGGCTAGTACAAGTGTTCGCCGTGTAGCAGAAGCATTGGATCTGCCTCATTCAATTGTCCAGAAGATCATGCAAAACATTCTCCGTTACTATCCATACAAGCTTCAACTTGTGCAGGAATTGCTTCCACATGATTTCGAGACTCGACACCTGTTCTCATTGCAGTTTCTTGCTCGTTTGGAAGTTGATCCAGAATGGCCTTGGAATATCCTCTGGACAGACGAAGCACACTTTCATTTGGACGGTTGAGCGATTACTCACAACTGTCGAATCTGGGAATCAGACCATCCGCATTCCACCTTACAAGTTCCGCTACACTCACCAAAAGTAACGGTGTGATGTGGGTTTCCGCGTCTTTTATTCTTGGCCCGTATTTTTTCGAGGAATTAGGTGCTGGAGGTCCAGTAACATGTTCTATCACTGGACAGCGATATGCATCATTATTAGGGAATAAAATTATTCCGGATCTGCAAGCACGTCAGTGCCTTTCACGCATCATTTTTATGCAAGATGGAGCTCCTCCACACATTACACGTTGTGTTAAGGACGTTCTCAAACATCACTTCACAGAAGAACGTGTGATCAGCCACCAATTTCTTCATCTGTGACCTCCCCGATCGCCTGACCTCAATCCATGCGATTTTTGGCTTTGGGGCCATTTAAGACAGCTGGTAAGTTGTGATCAACCAAAAACTTTACCTGATCTCAAAGACAGTATTTCACGGCATGTTCTTAACATTTCGCAGAACACACTGCGGTAAACGGTGGAACATGCTATCTTACGATTTAAAATAGTAGCTGAAAATGATGGTCATCATGTTGAGCCTTTATTGTTGTAACAAAATTTGTAATATGCTATAAATGTATGCTAAGTATTAATGTATGCTACATATAATCTCCATTAAAAACGCCCTCTGGTGGTGAAATTTTGAACTAATTTTTTTATTCACTCAAACAAATTCCCATCTCTACTTTATGTCGCACACGGAATTTTACAACTTTCTGAACAATAGTTTCGTCTGTACACAATTTTGAAGTAGGATCGTTTAATTATGGACACCCGGTATATCATATTCAAATTTTCAATCGTTAAAAAATACACTTTCTATTCATCCATTTAAGTGCAAATACATTTTTTTAAAAATTTGTAGTGGATAATACGTGATGTTAATACAGTTTTTAAAATATTAGTTCATTAATTAAATTAAAAAAAACGAATAAATAGTAACAAACAAAAATAATAGTCCAACAGCATATACAGAAAGGAAAATCTTTCGTTGTGTCTCTACAGCACAATGATTAGTGCTTTGGACTTCTAATCTAAAGATCGTGGGTTCGAATTCCCACTGGGATGGCCTAATTTATGAGACTGGGATTTCTTTTTTAACTATAATATTTTATTAGAACAATTAAATTTAATTAATGAATAAATAGTAAAAAAATAGCCCAGCACCATACATAAAGGAAAAAAGAAAATTGCTAGGAAAATCGCTTTCTATTTTGTCACTTAATATTGTGATTCTGTCATATTTATAAACATGTTTTATTAATTGTAACTAAAAAATTTCTTTGTAGACCTAAGTAGAAATTGATTTTTTAAATAGTATTTGTTATAAATCCATTTAATCCAATATATTAAAATTCCATTTTTTTAGACAACATATTGTTACATATTGTTTTATTTTAAACTTTATTTAAACTCTCTAAAACGTTGCATGGATAAATGCACTGTTTGGGTTGTTGTAGAAATGCTAAATTCTTTTGATTTCATTTCTTTATACTTGTTATAAATCAAGAAGATTAAACGAATTTTAAGATATCTACAGCGTGATTTTTCAAAACAAGTTGTTTAAAATTATTTTTTGTCAAGTCTAGAATATTTTTTTTTTAAAAAAAAAGAAAAAAAATACATATAAGAAGGAAAATATCTACTTAATGTTGAAAAATATTCAATTTTTAAATTACGTTTTTCAATGAGAAACGTTCAATCATCATTAGCGAAATACTTAATATACTTGTATTGATTCATGTGTTCTTTTTCGCAGAATTTGGGTTTTGATACATTAAGCCCCAAACAATCAAACCTTAAATTAATACTTTATTTATCAATCACAAATTTAACCTAAATGAAGATTGATGTAATTTGATTATTTAAAATAGGTTTCAAATTAAGTCTTGAATCATGTCAGGATTTTCATTACGAATGAATCATTATATCTTTTAGCAATCCGATCGATTTTCTCGGTAAATCCAATTAAAATTCTTCATCATTTCGTCATTGGATTATTTGAATATTTCATGCGTAGTTCCACTTTTAGTAGATTATCCATCGCCTATAAATATTTCGGTCCCTTGATATAGTTGCTTTAAAAAAAGGAAACACATCTCAAACATTGGCATAATTTACCGAGTTCCTTGTTATAATGGTTAACAACATTGTGAATTGTATATCATACATTTATAGTCTTATGTAATATTCATATTTCGAATATATGTTGATGACATCGCTATCAGGGTGCATGGAAATTGATTCATTTTGTTGTTCAGCTGTTTAAAAAAAATTTTAAAAATTAATTTATTTTTGCAAAACTTCTCATGTGCCACATTGCATAACATTAAGCTTACAGACGTAAGTGGTAACACATTTATATCATTTAAAACAAAAATAAAACACACGTTTAAGATAAAAATATGAATGAAAAGGAAGGGTGGAAAAACTGAAATATAAAAAGGGGAGGAACCACACAATAAAACTTTAAAAATCTATACAATAAATAAATTTTCTTAAGAAATAAAGGCTTTCAGTACAATTGACCAGCAAAGACGAAACATGTGGCCAGGAGATACCTAAACGTTTCAACTCCTTTTTAAAATTTCCCCTTTTACAAAAACACAGGTTACAACACAACAATACTTGTTCCGCCATTTCAGCATCCTGACCACAAGAATAAATATCTCTACCAATTAAATTAAACCTAGAAAAATATAGCTCTTAAAATTCAGGATAACTTAAAATCAGTAACAAATTTCTTACATTTTAGCCGTTAATAAATGGTTGGAAAAAACTTTTTAGTTCACAAAGCTTTAGACGAGGCAAAGAATTTGGTGTTCTAGGAGGAAATAGTTCTTTCCCAAGCTAAATGCTTCCAGTGGGACAATTAGAACGTGTTTTTAGGTTAGAGATTTTCTAAAATTTATTTTGGATTCACATGTACTTTTATTTATTTGGAAGAAATGTGCGTTTTAAAGTTTTCTTCTTCTTTTTTCTTTTTTTTTCTGATGATATGTGTTTATTATGAAGGCTAATAAATAATAACCAAGTTTTAACTAGGTATAATACATTTAAATGAATCTACTGGTAGAAAAAAAGCAATTTTTTAAATTAATGCTGGACACAGGGACGTCTTAAGACATGGGCCAACTGGGCCCGGTCTGGGCCCCGATGGGAGCATCTTCTCGTTCTCGACTCACCCTAATAAAATCATAATTTGAATAATTTCAAAGGTCAAATGTTATTTCTGGTTGTATTCCCCGAAAAACTTTAAATTTCGGACTATATGTCAACTGATTACATGCGATGACCGTCATCCACGTACATACCTAGGCCTACCCCCATACACCATCATTACTCATTTAGTCAAAAGCCGGCAGTCAGTCGAGCCAGTTTGTGTGATTGTAAATCATGCACCTTCATTTGTTTCGGGTTATTGTTTGTGCGCGTATTTGACAACGTATGCTATGTACTGTCAACTTTTAAGTGTCATAGGTGAGGCCTACATTTATGTAGGGACCCAGTGCCTACTTTTAAGTAAGGGCCTGGTTGGACATACGATAAACATATTCGTGAGTACAATGCAATGAAATATGGCGTTGATAAAATATGGAAGCAAAAGACTTAAGTGCATTGATCAACATTTCATCATCGGCTACAGAGCCTCTGGGGATTCTTGAACATATAGGTTGAATTTTGGCATCGTTTTCTCGTCATACAACTGGAAAGATACTACTTGATCTTATGGATCTGGATTTCGGTTGGTAAGAGCTGATATTGAAATTCAGGCATGATCATGGGCCCATATTGCCAACAAGGCTCTGTGCAAGTTGGTGGTGGCTCTATAATGATGTTGGTGGTTATTTCGTTGCTTGGACTGGATTCTCTAGTCAAACTGATCAATTAATTGAGCTGAAATGGTTATATTCAACTACTTGGAGACCATTTGAAGCCATTCATGAGCCCAAACAATGATAGGTTATGGCGAGATGGCAATACGTTGTGTTACCATTTCCAAATCATTCGTGATTGGTTTGAGAAACATGCTGGTAAATTCCTTCGAATGAGTTAGCTGCCTAGATCACCAGATACGAATCTCATCAAATATACATAAAATATGATGGAAATATTAATTCAGGCAGATAATCAAGCACCGGCAGCATTTTTGCACTATGGATGGTTGAAGAGACAGCAGGGCTGAATATTCAAGGGACTTCCTTGTGAATTTAATGCTATGTAAAGTTGCTGCCCTTAATCTAGCAAAAGAATTCCCACACAGTATCTGGAAGTTTCCCGTGACTTTTGGTATTTCATTATATACAGGGTGGTTTGTTACCAGATCGACAAACTTGCAGAGTGTGTAGGGGATACAGAGAAGACTCGGAATCACATATGAATGCAGGGTTGCAAATGCCGTAGTTGCAAGCTATGATGCAAAGAAGGAGAAGGAAAGAACAGAAACAACGACACGTTAATATGAGACAGAAAACATTTTATTGAGGGGTTGTTTTATTGAGAGGTACAGGTTGTGAAGCCCCCACCCGTGGGGACACGAACTACACTATCTACGCGACCTATTTCTGTGCGGAAGAACAAAGAACCACTCAAATCATTCATACTAAAATCTGTTTATTATGATTGTAGTGTTTTACAAATTTTCGTTGTCAAATGCTGGTTCGTGTTTAACTAAAACGTTGCAACCTTTGGACTGTAAATTGGTTTTATTACGAGATGGTGCTATTCGCACGCTGTTCCATGATGGAAGCTACAACAACAACTGAAGTGGAGGGTTACATTAAAACGTTGGTGGAGGTGCTCAGTCGGCGGATGGCATTCACGACAAAAAATAGATACAATTACGGACTGAACATCCTCCCCCCGTTGAATTACATTCAATCAATATACAGAATCACATAAATCAAAGAAGATATAAAACATAATAAACAAATAATGCTTTACATAAATCAAGGAAGAAACAATTTCACAAATTACATATTAATTGTCCAAGGGCAGAACACACACCTTCCCAATGCTGCGTTTAATATTGCCCTTATTAGTTTTTATTTCCACTACGCGAACCTTCCCATCCGTACCAGGAACTAGCTTGGTAATGCGACCTAAGCTCCATTTATTTACAGGAAGGTTATCATCCTTTATTAGGACCATTGTATTTAATATTTCACGTTATCTTTGTGAAATTGCCATTTGTTTCGTTGCTGTAAATTGTTTAAATAATCGCGAGACCATTTTGTCCTAATATGTTGAACTATTTTTGTTAATTTTTGCCACCGAGAAAATGTGTTTTCTGTCTTGTCTAACACATTAGGTTCAGAAATGGAAGTAATGGGTCTTCCAATCAAGAAATGGCCTGGAGTAAGCACTTCCAAGTCGTCAATATCTTCTGACAAAGGAGTGATTGGTCTAGAATTCAGAATTCCTTCAATCTGTGTTATTATGGTTAAGAATTCTTCTAAAGTCAACTTTAGGTTTCCTACAGCTCTTTTAAATAAAATTTGAATGATTTAACTCCTGCCTCCCAAAGTCCACCAAAATTTGGTGCTCTAGGTGGCATGAAATTCCAAGAAATCCCTTCAGAAGAAAGATAAGAAGAAAGATTTTCTTCGGGACATTTTAAGAGATTATGTAATCTTTTTAATTCTCGATTAGCTCCAACAAAGTTTTTGGCATTATCTGATGATATAGTAGCACATTTCCCTCGTCTAGCCACAAAACGCTTCAATGTAGCAAGGAAGGCGTCTGTGGTCAAATCCGAGACAATTTCGAGATGGACAGCCTTTGAGGCTAAGCAAACAAAAATGGCTACATATATCCTTTGGTACGTACCCTTTCTCTGGTGTTTATACCTTATGAAAAAGGGTCCACAATAATCAATTCCTGTATGCAGGAAAGGAAAACTAGGGTTTACTCTCTCTCGAGGTAAAGATCCCATAAGTTGGTTTGCTACAATAGTTTTATTTTTGAAGCAAACTACGCATTCGTGCCCAATTTTCCTCGCTATTGATCTGCCATGAAGTGGCCAAAATCTGTCTTGTACAATAAAGCAAAGCTTGAGGGCCTAAATG